GCAAAAAGCTCTGATCTGATTACGAAGCTAGTACGAAAGATGGAATCGATGTGCGGGATGAAGCGGGATCTTCGTGCTTGAGCTACAGCGGTTCGCTAGGACCTCGTAATCTAGTCACCTTCCCAGTCCAGCGCCTTTCAAGCTGCCAAGCAACTCCTGCAAAAAGCCGTGACCTAATCTATCTATGGGAGCTAGAGACCGGATTAGACTGGAATATAACCATTGGTCGAATGGCCCGGGCCTCGATAAAGAGCTTCAGACCACACGATCCTCAACCTCTCCCAAAAAGCTTTTTTGTTGGTAAGGGAAGAGAACTAATTCGAGCAAACTGGCATGGGGACAAGCTTCAGCCATACCAACAACCACCTCAGCCAGCAGATGAGACATGGCTTTTGCTGAGGTGTCTGCAGGAGTATTGGCCAGCAGGGGGCACGCTGTTTATAGGGGATCCCGTGAAATGGCCAGCAAGGGCGGATGACAATATATGGGTCCATCTTCAAGAGTGCGTTAAGTTTTCAGAGCGGTGCAGACGAGGCTTGTAACTAACATGATACGACCCGATTCTAGATTCGTAAACCGAACCAAATTCCAAAATCACCCGAGGATTACACAAATTCAGGCCTGGGTGCAAGACGTCTGGCACCAACAGAAGACAAGGCAAATGGTGAAGAACATTGGCTGTCTCTACTACATTGGAAGCAAGAGGAAAGTCCAGGAGCGAGACCGTAAACGGATCAGCATCGAGATGAAAGATGTCAAAATCGCTGGTACTGAACTCCAGATTACTCCTCGATGGCCAGACACAAGTACAAGGGATTCTTCTACATGAACTTAAGTATGCTCCTTGGCATCCTTGAACAAATTCGATATAACAGGTCGAAAACTAATACCCAAAAGGCCAGAACAAAAGCCCCGCTAAATTCATTGGGTCACTCAAGAGGGATTGTAAGCAGTACTGTCATCAGATCGGCTAAGTAATAGTCAAATGAAAAGCACTCTCATACCGATAATAACATTCCCATGTGTGGTGGATCTTGCCTTCTTTAGAATCTTCTGCCTAATCAAAGCCATGGGCCTTGGAATGATAATATGTTTGTTTACCCGTACAAGAGCGTGAGCGAAATAATCCATCATCTTGCTCTTCTCTCCCAACCACTGCCGCCGACGAGTGCTTGTTGAGTCCCAGGAGAAAGTTTGGGGCTCGATCGCAGTAAAACCAGAGCACTCTGTCTAAAACCTCTGAAACCATTTATTCCGTGGATATGGATCTGCATAATACCCACTAGATTAATGTATTACTGCGAGGATTAATTGAAGTCTGTTAACTCTCTCTGGAGGAAGTAGAGAGATCCATCGGGTGAAGGTTATATACATTCTCGATCAGAGTAGTATTGGAGGCAAAACTGTCACCGAGAAAACCATCTAGGCGTGGCAGCCAATCCTTTTGGTTGGTCTGAGTGATTGTACCATAGAACTGACCCCTGTTGGCAGAGGCCATGGGCCTTCAGTCGCGTATAGGAGTGAAATTCGCACCTACGGAGCAATACTTTCGCGATCTATGGAATTGGCATCGAATGCTTCGACACTGTGGTACTGCACTCATGTTAGGTATTAGAGGGTTGGAAAACCATTAGAGTGCGTACCACTTTCAAAATACAGTGCCTGTCGCGCCAACGCATGCGAAAGATACATGATGATGTAGAGCGTTTAATCTGTTCAACGAATTCTATATCTGATAGATCAAGTTCCATGATGATGGATAACTCTATATTCTATTTTGTGTTTGCGGACCCGAGGGGCTGAATATGAGCTGGAACTGAAGGGGTGCTGCAATATGCCTATTTGGGGCAATCCCTGCAGAGCGCATAATGATCCCTTTTGAGTGAAGCGATCGGATCTATTAATCGTGCCGGTACATCACTCGACGTGACTTATGTCGTTCATGTGGAAGACTTGCTCCAAACTTGCATCCATAAGCCCCGCATGTGAGTGGCATATACATATCCCAGCCCGACTAAGGGAGTATCTAAGGATGGTGGATTCTTGTCTGATTGTGCGAAAACGATGAAATAACGACTTCACAGCGGAATGATCGGAGCATTGCCATGGATCTTCTGAATAATGATACTTACCTAGATGAACTTCTGCATTGATTAGACTGGAATAGAAGAATGATCGAAAATGGCAAGTTGCTCATGAAAGATTGCAGCTTCGAAACATATGCATTGGACCTGGAAGCTTCCGCATTTTGGTGAGCACATGCTGGAAATGCAGGTTATATATAGAGATAGAAGACCCATAAATCTTGCTATTGCCTGATGCAACATTTCTGACTGGATCCTCGACCTGCTTGAGATGAAAGGGAAGATCCCAGTCATGGCAAGGAAAATTCCTTTGACTAAATAATATAAGAACCTATGCCTTTAGAATATTGTACAATCGACTGAGAGAAGACTTACCAGGGCCGCGTACTCTAGTCTATATAACATATATTGTATAGCTCCGAGCAGGATGAATAAGAACCTTCTTGAAACCCGCATTTCGGTTTGGCTAAAGTAGACACACCATTCCAACGGAAGGATGCTCGTTTCACAGTTAAATTGTTGATTTCTGCTCGGATAAACAAGGTATATATAATGCTGTAACGGCTTCTTCCATCTGTTATAGGTGATATCTAAGTATAAATCCTACTAAACTGGGCGGAATTCGAAAACCCACTTGGGTTGATTTTGGCATATATGAGATAGTTGCTTCTAGAATGGAGAAGAAATATATAAATAAGCCGGTAAGGGAAAAAGATCTGAGAATTTCTCATAGCTCCCACAAAGCCAAACTCGAACAGCTCTGCCTGATAGTCAATCGAGCTTCCAACCCAGACCCAGCCCATTCATCAAAATGCCTCTTCCAATCGCCTCCACCGCATCCCTCTTCGAGGACGCCCTGCAGTCCAACGAGGCAATTGAAGTCCCCGTTGGCGGAGTCGACTTTGTCTCCTTCACGAGTGGACAAACCATAAGAACACTTGGTACCAGGAGGTTGAATGGCAATTCGGCTCTTGTGCTCGTTTCCACCAAAGGTGCCATTTTAGCTAACATTCCTCTGCCCCCTTGCAGCATGGAAGAACACAATGCCAATCTAACGCAACTGTGGAAGAAAACGACCGCTTTTTTGAATCTCTTCAACGAAAATGCAGGGCTCTTTTTGGGCCCGGATGAGAAAAGGTATGCAATAGTTTATGGACCCTCTGCGAGACCTAAACCCTTCCCGCAATATGATGCGATCATTGATTCCATTCTTTCGAATTCGTTGGGAGTTATTGAGAAGCCTAAGATTATCTCATATACGTATGAGGAGGGCGGCCATAATCAGCCTGATAGTGGTTCTGTCTTTATTGATGGAAGAGGTAAAATTCCCAAGGTGTATGTGGAGGACAAGGATCAGAAATGGTTCGACCAGGTTTTTGTATATCTGGCCATGGAGAAATGGTGTAGGTAGTTGAGATAGACCTGAGGAAATAGGCTACCAGCCGTTCGTCTTCATATTATCGCATTTTCCATTTTAGCTAGGCTCTGGTACATGACTGTATCTTGTAAAGAGCATTCATATACATGATACCGAGCGACACTGCAGGTGTCATAAAAAACCAATCTTTTTAGCACGAGTGGGTGAGAAAGCAGGCTTTCTGCCGAAGGCCCCTCATTGTCGTAGACAGAAAGAGCCACTTTCCACCTTACTGTAACAAGGCCTCATTTTTTAGACATTCAACCCCACGGCGTTGCATTGAAGGCGGGGCTGCGATGTCAAGGTACTCGGAAAGAACAAAGAAAAAAAAAGGGGGGGGGGTTGGAGGGGACGGTTCATCTTATGTCGATCCCTATCACCAGCTAGCTGCGAGCCTGCGCCACCAGCTTGGTCAGAGGCATCAGTTGTGCGCAATGTGAACAGATCATTGTGCTTCGGCTACACAGCGGAAACGCCAGGTTTCTGGGTGCGTGATGCTGTTGGATCAATGGCCTGATAGCTTGATTACGGACTGCTGGAGCAGTGGGGAATACCCAGTCTGGCTGAGGGGCAGTAAGTCGCGGTGATAAGGGCGGGGCTGACTGCCTTAGGGCTGGTGCGGCCACAGGGCTAGTATTGTGGGTGGTTGGTTAGATAGGAGCAGCAGTTTGTGAGGGCTTGCAGGATGGGTCGTGGATTCCAAACCTTGCTGCAAAGCAAAAAGCATACCGAGTACTCATCTTTCATGGCATTAAGCTCGAGGAACATTTGTTCTTACAACTACATTAGCATAGTTCTACAGACCGATACTACACAGTACACAAAGCGCTGATGGCGGAATGGTACATGGGGCCGCGGGAAGAGTCGGCAGGAGCCGGAGCCGTAAGCGGGCCCCAAGTTGGAGTGATAATCGTGGCGGTAAGACTGTTGAGATGTGATAGTGAGTTAGTGACAAGATGTGATTCAGCCTGCATTGGTGGTAATACTGTTCCATATATAGTACGTAGTTGTTGACTAGAGGAATCAAGGCCAAACATGCATCTCTAACTGGATTATCCTGTATCGTATGTGGAGCAGATGGCATAGGGGAATGCTCCCTGCTGATCTGCACTGCAGGTTCCCTTTTCGTTACACACTCAGTACTACTACACTACCCCTCCCTAACCCGCCAGCCACTCAGATTAGTTCTGAGCTCTATCTAAAAGCAGTTAAGCGAGTAAATAGGTCTTAGCAGTCGACGTCAATGCTCACTGATCAGAATGGAGTGGACTTCTATTCCACAAGCTCGTCTTTTACTGCTATCCACCAACATATATAGTTACCCCAAGCATTAATTCTGCTGGAAGAAGTCTAGTATACTTGTCTAAGTGAGGTTCAATTACGGCTAAGAAGCTCATAGAACAGATGAATGAACCTGCTGTTCTTTTTCGGAAGGAACTTCCATTTTCTGAAATTCCTTCATAAAATCCAAAGAGTTTTCTACAGTTACTAGTAGCTGCAGTAATCGCCCTGAACGTTATATGCGTTACAGAACGCGAAAGTACAATTACTTTCAGATTTTGCTAGTTATGTGACAATTTGTGTTTTCTTGTTCATCAAAAGCTATCAACGCTCCTGTCCTTTCATTTTCCAATGGCTAATCCATGAACAATCTCCACGACCTCCTCACACTTGGTAAACAGTGCACAGTGTCCAGTCTCCAACTCCCACGTACGAACCTGACATCCAGCTTCCCGCATCGTCTGCACAAACTCCTTCTGGTAATCATAGGGCACAGTCATATCCTGGGTTGAATAGATGTATCCGATTTGAGGAATACCCCCTTCCTCAGGTCGCCAGGCGACATGCTGGAGCTTGCCGTCAAAGCCCTTCCCATTCCACCGCTGTAAGGACGCAATATAGGCGTCAGTCTCCTCGTCTGACTTTTTAGATGGACCGACCAGGAGGTTCTTGGGGTCTCGGGAGATGCAGGTTCGGTCCTCGGCAAAGTCAAAGGCCACGTCCATCAAGGGACCGTGGCCGTGAGAGATGACGACCTCAACCATGGAGACCCCTTCTGTGAGCGCAAAAGCGGCGATGTAGACTAATTGAACAATGCCGCCAGTGAGGCCCTGCGCGCGACGGGTTGTGACCCCGAGGCCGTTGGATAGGGCATTCGTTCCGACCTGGCCGCCGTAAGAGTGAAGCAGAACCAGAACCTCGCGGCCGGCAGAGACGAGGTTCTCCACGCAGGTGCGGATGAATACACTATCTTCTTCTAGACCAGCATTTGGGGGACGGGCGCCATTAATAGAGGGAAGGCAAGGCACGTGGACTTCATGTCCGAGGTTGCGAAGCGCGGTGGTGAAAGAGGTGTAAGATGATGGTTGGTGCCAGGCGCCAGAGACGAGGACGATGGCCGGGTTGTTAGTTGGGGGGTAGGTGGTAGTCATAGTGACCTTTGGAGATAGGATAGTACTATAGAGGGATTTTGGTCGCAATGGAAATAAAAAAACCAAATATGGGAGAGTAAAAGAGTCCGGGATAAGGAGTGGAAGGGTGATGATGCGTCGGAGGAAAAGTGTGGCCGGAGGAGCCTAAGTAGTGGGTGAAAAGGAATGATATCTCACTAATAATAAGCGAATCACCCCACCAAATTAGGTATGGTTTAGTTATGTACCACTGCTAGTAGCTGTACACTGTAGGGAAGATTTCATTAGGTTATAATCAGTTATAAAACAGCACTAGCAGGGGCAGGAAAATCCCGGGTCTGGGCACGGCCTCAAATTGCATAAAGAGACTAGCGAGCTTAGTATCTAACGCAAGTGAGACCAATAGACAAGATACTATGGCATTTGAAATGTTGGTTGTTTCTTTGTCCTCGTTGCCACCTCATCCAACAGTATCGCCAACTGTTTCTTCCCCAATTAAGTCCTGTCTGTCTTCCCCAAGCATACGCCACACATCCGCAGACTAGTTCACGAAATGAGCCCGATAAGACAACGGTCTATCTGCAAGATCTTAATACCCCTGCAATTTTGTATATGCATGGACTTGGGCCACATCACCCCAATAATTGTTGGCCCTCTTGGGGCTCGCCGCTTCGATGTCATTGTAGAGTTCCTGTCTGGAACCGACAGCGTGGTATCGAACGGAGCCAAGAGCACCAAAGCCAGACTTCCAACTGTGACAAGGGCGGAGGCGTGTAATGCCACTCCAGCCTGTGCTCGTCCCCTTAGTCGATCGAGGTTCACGGATATGCTGGACCAAGCTTGGGATCATTGGGAGGCAAGCACAAATGATGCTCATGTTTGTTTCGACTGTGGTCCAAATACCGGGGATAGTGAAAGTGTCTTTTACAGCAAGGAAGTGTGGTTAGTATCAACTATTCTTCTAGGAATCAAGGGAGAGCACGCACATGTCAAATCGGATACATCAATCGTGGCCATATAAACAAGCCGTACAATACTGGTCACGCAGACGCTGAGGGGATACCAGCTATCAGTATAGGGGATTAGGTGAGTTTATCAGACGAACTTACAATCCACCTACACTGAAGACCAGAGAAAGCAGAACTCGACACCGGCGTGTCTGCTTCAATCGCCAAACTACCGGTTGTGGCAGGATCAGAATAATTACATCAAGAAGGATGTTGACTGCACCCATAGCAATCCAGAAGCTCTTGTTGTGGATTGTCGTGCTGGGCTCCCAGAATTTCCACTGTGCATCTACAGGGTTCGTGGAGAAGATGAGCCCGGAGACTGCGGCTATACAGGCCCCTGCGGAGAGGCCGGTGACCACCCAATTGCAAAATAGGAAAGCCTTGTTGACGGAGAAAATTCGCCGATAGAAGAGTAATATAGATATTTTGGTCAATCCAACACTGACGTTGTAGATCACCATATCGGCTAATGTAATCTGGACCAAACAATCACCTGATGTTAGATTACGGTGCATTCCTGAACATGAATGTTCAAGGAAATGAAAAGGTGCGTTCTCTACCCTGTGTTACGTGCGTACCTGGAAGTATCTTTCTAGCACAAGGGGGTCCTTGTACTGAGTGATGTGGATGCCCGCATGCCCCACGGTTGTGACGAGAGCAGTGGTGCATAGGAGCCCATAGGAAAAAATCAGAGCAAGAAGACAGAACCAATCATCCAATTTTATGGAGAGTGTGAGGGAGCGTGAGATAAACCGGAGAGCTACCAAGCATGCCGATAGTAAGGTCATCAACCCCGTCACCGCGACGAAGATAACATTGAGATGGTGGGAATGTTCAGAAAGACCAGTTGCTGCCTGGAATGCCATTGTGCAATAGGCTTTTTCAGATTAGAAACGATAAAGCGGTATAGAAATGGAAGTCAGGGGTGAGGAGATATTCCCCAATGCTAGGCTGGGTCGTCACGCATCCTTGGTCTTAAATCTTTTCAAGACAGCTGTAGGCAGATACCGGCTCCGAAGATTGGATAGGAAAAAGTGAGCTAAAATTGCGACGTGCTTTAGATATGCAGCTAGGCAGTGATTCTCCCCGAGACATAGTGTTAGGATCAATTAAGGCGAGAGGAGGTGGCGTCTGCTGTTTATGGGATGAGCTGTTCAACTCGACATCTTGTAGCAAATCCACCCGACTGTCAAGAACACAAATAAAGATATCCGTGATTCTAAGCACTTCAGCGATATATGGTAGGGACATCTGACTTAGGAGGCGAGAAGGAGCCCGCTGTGATATTGCTCCAGTACGATTTGTCGCTAACCAGAATGGCACAGCCCGGTAAAAATAAATGTCGAGCGGCCAATTCGTTCGTTGTCTCGTAAAGTGCATCGAAGCAAGCGCTACGCCTATCGAAGACTCAGTCACATTTGAACCACTGCGCTAAAATCTGGACGACCCGCAGCGTTCTCTGCGGGGTGTCTTCTCAGAAGGAGTAGCACGGCTCATTGTGACAGAAGTCCTCTGCGAAGTCGGAACATGTGGGCCAAAAGTAGGCACCATCGACAAATTGAACTTGCTTCTGTAGAATAATTGGACTCTCAAGATTGAGTGGGGTTGAGTACTGCGCATGGTAGCATGGCTGCGACATACTTATTAAGGCTTCAGAATTTCTGGAGGCTGGGATAATAGTAGTTTAGCAGTTGCTTCGAGGGAGTTACCCGAGTCCATACCTCCAACGCTGACTTTCCATGATCGCGTTCGGGAGGGGGTAACAGGTAGTCTTTTACTGGTGGAACGAAGCATAGTAATTGAGGATTAGTGTGACTTCCATAAAACTAGCGTGAGATAGTTTGTGCAAGTCACTTTGCAGGGAAATAGAATCACTAAAGGCCCGCAGGCTAATGCGAAGCTGGGTTGCTGCATTGATGTGGGTAAGACAGAAAATATTGGGGGTTGGGAGGCCGTATTGTGAAGTCGATACTGTTACAGTATATTACGCCAGGATAATACCAGTCTCCGATGGGAAAGCACTGCATAGATGTCGGGTTCTTGGAGACTTTCATGTAGTGGCAGATTCCTTCTCATACTATCTGTATAGATGGATAGCTTTATCAAGATGAGTTTTGTCGTTGTCCCCCCTTCTTCTTCCTCCTAGAAAGCCTATCGTAGACCATGTCTCCACACTGTCAGAATATCCATGAGCACCAGATGTTCGTGATCAGTCGCGTAACTTGAGGTCTTCAGAGGCGTATCTGAAGCCAGCTGTCGAACCACTTAGGAAGATCCCGACAATGCAAAACGAGGAGAAATGATCGCGTCTTACACGTTTGACTTGAGAGCATCAGTAGAGTAATACTGCGTTGCTTCAGCACCAAGTGTAACTTTCCACCTATAGTCAATCCGATCGCTTCATCATCTTCGAGCTTGGGGGCCAGTGACTCTAGCTGCAGACGCTTGTCTAGCTCAAGCATACCATACTATACTCGCTGCATGCATCCAATGCTGGTATTGAACTCACTAGTGCAGGATGTAAGCCAAAAGATGGTATTCATAGTTATAAAAGAGTGTTCGTCCAGAGCTATCTTACCAGATGTATGACTGAATATCGTCTTTTCAGTCTTGTGTCGACATCATAGTATACGAGGCCGGGGATTTTTGGGGGGGACATCGTTGATTCAGATGTCTAAATTCTGTGCGAGCAGCAGCATGAGCGGCTGCCAAAAGTTGCATGGTTCAAAACATGATAGACTAAAATTCTACTTCATACAAACCTACACCTTGACATTAGATATAGTATATACTGATATATGTAGTCTTACTTGATATGATATACTTGAGAAGGTAGTACAGATTACGATGAAAGAACGTCTGTATATCAAATAAGAAACCAAGAAATAATCAATCAAGGGAGTGCTTCGCCGCGAAGTATACCTGGGCTCCTTAACCTTGTTTGAACATAGGGCCTACTGTATTTTCTAAAGACACCGTAAACCCAACACCGTAAACCCAGGAACAATTTGCAAGCCATTTTGCAAGTAGATGTCTGATTGACAGTCATACTAGGCGATATATCGTATTCAATAGACTGGAGCAACCCTTGCTGCAATAATGAATCACGTGCATAAGGAAGGGGCTCAGTGATGGTCATGCATTGCACACAACATCATCAACATCATCGTCATCATCGTCATCATTATAATAGCAGACAATTGTTACGCAATTCCTTTCTCTAGGAGACAAATGCACTGGGAATCCTATCTGATCCTTTTCCTGGGAGCCTGCGCCGCCGGCGTGAATGGGAAGCCCCAGGTCGACCTGGGTTATGCTCGCTACCGGGGTATTCGGCTGCCTGCTGGGGTAGATGAATACCTTGGTATGAGATACGCAGCGCCTCCTTTGGGTCAACGGAGGTTCCGAGCACCGGCTGATCCAATCAGCACATCATATATTCAGGATGCATTTGAGGTAGGTGATTTATATCTCTTACAGAACAGGGCACGTACTGACGCACAGGTCGGTGGCCTTAAGTTTGGACCAACCTGCATCGGTGTTGGAGAAGAAATAAGCCAAAGTGTTGGGGAAGACTGTCTGTTTATCAACGTGTTCGCCCCATCCAACGCAACCGCCCTCTCCAAATTGCCAGTGTGGGTGCATATTCAAGGCGGCGGCTATGCATCCAACTCCAATGCCAACTTCAATGGAACGGACGTGATCCAGCACTCGGGATATGGCCTCGTCTTTGTCAACTTTAATTACCGTGTTGGGGCCCTGGGGTTCCTAGCCAGCGAGGAGATTCGGCGGGAGGGAGACCTAAATGTGGGTTTGCTGGACCAGCGGAAGGCTCTCACATGGATTAAGCAGTATATTGACAAGGTGAGTCATGGGAAAAGCTGCTATAGCGCATGGATGTTCTGACATTCTCGGTGTAGTTTGGAGGAGATCCAGACCATATTGTTGTCCATGGTGATTCCGCCGGTGCGGGCTCAGTGGCTCATCATATGACTGCGTATGGAGGTGGGGAGGAGGGGATCTTCACAGGTGCAGTACTAGAGTCTCCATTCTGGCCCACATTGCGCAAAGTTGCAGAAATGGAGTTCCAGTACACGCGGTTTGTGGATGATGTCGGCTGCTCTAATTCATCATCTGCGTTGGCTTGTCTTCAGTCTGCG